GCGTGTACCTCGGCAACTTTTTGTTTATTTTTTTCACAATCGTCATAACTTCTTCAATAATTCCACTACTGGTAATTGACTCACAGTTTTTCGGATAAGATAACGCATGCACACAGTTTTGAAATATGAAAAAGGCCAAATAAACCAAAAAAACTAGCCAGAATCGGGTGAAATTCTGACGCGCATGCATGCTGTCGTCAACGTGTTAAATTCCTTTACTGCGAAAGCTCGTAGCGCGTGCTTTCCGGGCTCTGAGAGCATTCACAGATAAAACGTCCCTAGCCTTCATCGCAAACTCATGGGCAAATAAATGGCGCATGTGAGATGTACACATTTCATCCTGAATGGCTACGACAACCGGAGATTTGTAACGCCGCCGTTATGGAAAAGGGTGTATTGCGCGGCCATCCTCGACGTGGTGTTTACCTCAGTCTCATCAGTTTTAAATTGAATTCTGAGCCCTGTGTATAGATGATAATAAAGAGGAGCTGGAACATTAGGACGTATTAATTTGACATAACCGGTCAACGTTTCAAGCAGCGGACAAAGAAACCGGTACAAAAGTGTCAAAATGTCATGCTAATTAGAAATGTGCGAAAACCACAAAGCAGAAATTAGCTTTTCTGTCATCTGCTATAGGTGGAACACAGCGAATTCATTGACTGCAACAAAAATCGAGCGCTTTATGAATTCAAGAAACGAAGAATAACTCGGGAAAAAAGTACCCTACTTGGGGTGTGGTTCACTAGGACAGAAAGCGACTTTTTCGCGTTTCGCAGCGCGAAACATTTTTCGCTGCGGGAATCTCGGGTCCACTGATTTTTCGCTGCGGGAACCTCGGGTCCACTGATGATCAGAGGTGGACCTGAGGTTCCCGCAGCGAAAAAATGTTTCGCTGCGAGCGCGAAAAATTCGCTTTCTGTCCTAGTGAACCACCCCCCCCCCTTTTGAAAGCCCTTTTTTGGCGTACAGAATCTTGTATGTCATTTTCTTCAATATCACAACCGTACTTACTCAGACTCGATGCTTAGAAACGAGAAGAACAAGATCTCGATAGCTGTTTTCTCTGATCCCTCATAAAGAAAGAAGCTGCCAAAACGAAGTACTTCAGCGTATGATGTGTTCGGAGCATTACTCCAGTCAACCCTCCCTTTTCGCTCAATTCTGAACCATCGCCATAAAATTGGGAATAACATGAACTTTAAAAACGGGCTCAATACTTTTTTTGTAGTATAGCCGTTATTCTTGCAATGGAGTCAAAGCCACTAAAAATGACGAAGGGAACATCACTGATAAGTTTTACGGTGCCTCAACGTTTGTGCCGAATGCGGCGCTACGATACGATATTATGTTCCAACCAATAATCCTGTAACATAGCCAAGGACCGCACGAAGCACGCGCCCTACCGGGATGAATCTCCATTGCTGGTTGACAATGGAGATTGATCCCAAGCCGAACACACCGCATACGGCTCCAACTGACTTCATGAAAACAACCAGGCCCCATACACTAGAAATGCAACATATTAATGATACAATCATATGAAATAGAAAGCATGGAACAAATTCCGAAAATAGTCGTTTATTCGAGCATCCCTATCGAAATGACAAATTGACACAATTTAGAACAAGTCAGTTAAGTCGTACACACCGAATTCCACGAACCGTAATACGAACAAATGAAATCAAAAGTAGTAATTCATACAATTTTCACACTAAACACTTCAATAGCAGATCAATATCAGATATATTGCTCCGCCCACGCATTGAGACAATTGTACGCACTCTTAGCATGATTGGAGGACACTCCAGCAGTATCCTGAAACGAATGTATACACTTAGTACCAGAGAGTGGAGAACATTTTTTCGTTCCTCAATTTCTTTGGTCAGTTATTTCGCAATGTTACGTCATTGCTACTATTATTGTGAGAAAGCTTGCGCAGACCTAAATTCATTGAAAAAAGGGTAAGGCACAAACACGATAATAGGAAATGAGGGGAGGGCAGGCATTAAAAGAGCCCTCATCTACAGCTATATATTCGTTTCTCAAGAACGGACAGCTGAAACTAGCAAAGCAGACGCATCAGAGTTCGCTCGAAAAGAAATTGTTATTTTTAAACAGTTGAGCTTGACAACTTTCGAAAATAGGTCACCCAGCCCTGCTCAGCATTTCTCAGTTGTGGTATATTGCACGACTACTGTAGAAAATTCAGCAGGAAATTAGAACGCTTTTCACCACGGAGAAATATGTGTAAACAAAACAAAAGTCAAAACTTGCACGAAGACGCAAAGTGTGGGAGCGCGTGAGCCCCATTTCTCAAAACAATGACGGGCATACGCAGACTTCATTTCATGCTGCCGAGAAGAAAAAAGCGCCCATGGCAAGGTAGCTCCGAATAACAAAACGGAAATGTGATGATTTGGCCTTAAACTTTGTAAGGCTGATGTCAGACTCCGCGATCCTTTGCGCGATTTTCGCGATATGCGCGATATAAAGGAGTTATATCAATACTTGGACTTTCCTAAATGGTCCAGCCACGAATGGCTAGGGGCAAAGACGAACAGCGTCTAGGCCGGCTCTAAAAACTAAAGAGGAAGGTGA